CTTTTTTTATAGCATTTAGCCCACTTACATTTAAAGTTATTATTGAAAAGTACTTGTTTGTAGCCATTTTTATTTTTTGTGCCAGTTTTCTTTCTAAGCTTTTTATTTCTTCTTCTTACACCAGTCCCTTTAGCATTTCTTGCATTGCTGGCTTGGTGGTGATAAACTCCCTTAGCTTATTTTTTCCTGTGAAGCTCCTTATTTTCCCTTTAATTTTGAATGATAGCCTTGCTGTATAGAGTATTCTTGGATTCAGTCTCTTGCTTTGCATCACTTTGTAAACTTCTTTCCATTCTTTTCTGGCCTGATGTGTTTCTGTTGAGAAATCATTTGATAATCTAATGGGAGATCCCTTGTACATAACGTTCTGTCTCTCTCTTGTAACTTTTAAAATTCTCGCTTTGTCCTGAACATTTGCCATCGTAATTATGATGTGTCTTGGTGTGGGTATTTTTGGGTTCATCTTGTTTGGGACTCTCTGTGCTTGTGTGACTTTTTTCTTCCCCACATCAGGGAAGTTTTCTGACATTTTTTTCAAATAGATTTTCTAACCCTTGTTCCTATTCCTGTCATTCTTGCACCCCTATTATTTGTATGTTGCTACATTTTGTGGTGTCCCAAAGCTCCCTTAGGCTCTCCTGTCTTTTAATTTTTTTCTCCAATTGCAGTTCAGTTTGGGTGTGTTTTGCTTCCCTTTCTTCTAATTCGCTAATTCGGTCCTCTGCTTCTCCTAATCTACTGTTGAAACTTTCCATAGTGTTTTGTATTACGGCTATATCACTATTTCTTCTTGATTCTTATATAAGTTGTTGATTTTTTTTTATCTATCTGGTTTATGAACTGTTTAACCCTTATTCTGAATTGTTTTTCTGACTTATTGCATGCATCCATTTCACTTAGCTCCTTTTCTGGTGATTTGTCCTTTTCTTTCCTTTGGCAATTTCTTTTTTCCCCATTTTAGTTCTCACCAAAGGATCTAGGTGTTGAATCATCCAGGGGCTACTCCTTGGGTGTCAGTGGCTCCTCAGGCAGCGGTTGCACCTTGGGCGGTCATGTCAGCAGCTGCTCCTTAGTTGGTGGCGACTCCTCTGGTGGGTGCTGCTCACTTGGCTGCTTGCAGCAGTGGTGGCTCCTCTGGCTGGTGGGGGTGGGCTCCTCGATTGGCTGCTGCTTCTCAGATGGGGGTGGGCTGTTCATGAGGCTGCTTCTCCTCACACAGGGGTGGACTGTGTACAGTTGCTGCTCCTCTGATGGGGGCGTGCAGCTCATGCGGCTGCTGCTCCTCGGACGCAGGTGGGCAGCTCATGTAACTGCTGCTCTTCTGATGGGGACAGGCTGTGTGTGGCTGCTGCTCCTAAGATGGGGCGTGCTGCATGCAGCTGCTACTTCTCAGATGGGGGCAGACTTTTCACGCAACTGCTGCTCCTTAGATTGGGGCCGGCTGCATAGGGATGCTGCTCCTTGGATGGGGGCAGTCTGTATGAGTCTACTCCTCAGAAGGTGGCAGCTGCTCGTGGGGCTGCTGCTCCTTGGCCAAGGATGGCCTGCTTGCACCACTGCTGCTCCTCAGACAGGGGCTGTCTGCTCGTGCAGCTGCTGCTCCCATGGTTGCAGTGCTCTGGGCTAAAGCCTTGGGCCAACCAGAGGGAAGCATGCTTTGGAACTCACAGGAGCCCATGCCTGGGGTGGTTGGAGTTTTGGTAACCATGGGACCGCAGCTGAGACTGCAGGTCCCTGGCAGGGGTGGCTGTAGAGTCACAGGTGGTGTCTGAGGGCACCCTGAGTGGAGGTGAGGCTGGGCTCCTAGTCACAGCAGCTTTCCCCTTCAAGAATTTGTGGCCTCTGTGGTAGAGCCAGATGCCCTTGGACTGTTAGCAACAGTAGCAGAGGCTGCCTGGTTAGCTGAGCCTCGTCAGCCTGCCCCCAAAGGTCCTGTGGGATCTCACACACACACACCCCACACATCCACACATTCCCCTTTCACTCCATCATTCACTCACACTCTCCCTCACTGCCACCTTCTTCCTGCCTCTGTAGGTGGGTCTGGAGTGTTACTGACCTGTTCATGGGTGGAGTCTCCTCTCTAGGTGTATGGTTATGTGGCTTGCTCTCTACCCCATTGACCAAACAGGACAAAATGCAACACGATAAGACACTACACAAAGGGAACAAAATATGAATGTACTCATGGCACCGATAACCCCAATATAAGTGATCACCAGAGAAAAGAGAATGAGGAGAGAGAAAAAAGAGCACAAGTGATATTGAAGAGAGAAAAAAATGGTAAAAGAGAAAAGAAGAAGAAAAAGGAAAAAATATATATGGGGAGAAAACACCACAGAATAAACTGATAAACCAAAAAATGCAAACACCAAACATCCAGCAAAGAGGGTGGGGGCAGAATCTGTAGAGGCTGAGCTTATATACAGAAAGTAAGGTTAAGGAATTGGATAAATATGGGGAGGATCTCAGTTCAGTATAGAGGAAGTAGAAAGAGGATGAGTGGATAAGAAGATAAAGAAGAAAAAATAAGAAAATAAAAAATTAAAAAATAGGATAAACTAAAAAAATTTAAAAAAATAGAATGATGCAAAATAATATGAAAACCAATAAAAAATAAAGAAACAAAAGGAAAACAGAAAATAAAGAGAAAGAGAAAGAACAAAATAATAATAAAGTAACAATAAAAATGAAACAGCAAAGTGTTCATTTCCACTGAGTTTTAATGCCCCATGGGGGTTGGTTTAAGATCCCACTCTTCTGTACTGTCTGCTACTTCTCAGTTTCCTGTTAGATTGTTAAAGTTCCAACCGGTACCCCCCTCCTCTGTTTGTGTCTATCTCCACAGCCTTGACTGCCAGCTGGTGGGACAAATCTTCCCACTTAACCTGTTTGCCTTCTGTCAATCTTAATCTCTCAAGCAGCTGTTTCTGACAGGGCTATCATTGGGGAGGTTGTCATATGGCTTTCTGGGACTGAAAGGCTTGTCTTCAGGCCAGCCCCTGAGGGCTCAAGGGGACTATTCAGATTTTTTTTGTATCCTTGTAACACTCAGGGTGTAATCTGGGTGTGGCTTTATTGGTTTCCTGGAGACTGCATGGAGGGGCTATCTCATCAGGAGAAAATGACTGCTGCTTAAGTCTAGAGTGTCAGGTATGACTCAGTGCCAGGCCCCCCGCCACCTCTCCCTGACACTCTCTTCTCCCTAGCCTCTCCCCAGACTCCTCAAGTCCACACCTCTACCTACACCGCAGCCACGGGGGAGTGTTTGTATTTGAAAGGTCCTATGAACTGGGTTCAATAAATAAAAGCAAAGACCAAAAAGAGGGGAAAGAGCTGTGCCACTGCGAGCCCCTCTCCCCCCAGCACGGCACACCCTGGGCAGTTCAGGCTGGCCCCTCTGGGCTCAGCCTCTAGTGACTGTAGGCTTAAATCTATAATCCCCTTCCGCCAGCATCCCTGTGGACTTCCTTTCCACAGTCAGATGTTACAACTGTCCCAAGGGATGCGGCCTTGATGCTGTGCTGCTTCCTTCTAACCCTCTGGGCTTGGAGGTCTTGCAGTTCTCTCCAGCCCAGATCCCTGATTTTACTGTTCTTCAGATGTCCTCTGCCCTTCCCAGCTGTGAATTGACTCACCAGCTGTGTCTACTTCGCCAATTTGGGGTGGATGTTATTCTATTTAGTTGCTCCTTCTATCTGCTACAGGACAAGGCTCAGGACACATCTGCCTATTCCAATGCCATTTTGTCTCTCCTCAATTAATATTTGACAAGCGAGGCAAGAACATACAATGGAGTCAAGACAGTCTCTTCAGTAAATGGTTTTAGAGAAATTGGACAGATACATGCAAAAAATAAAAATGAAACTAGTCCACCAACTTACACCATACACAAAAATAAACTCAAAATGGATAAAAGACTTAAATGTAAGACAGAAAAGTATAAAAATCTTAGAAGAATCCATAGGGAGCAAAATATCAGACATATCTTGTGTCCATATGTTTACCGATTCATCTCCTAGGACTGGAAACTAAGGAGAAAATAAAAAAATGGGATTACATCAAAATACAAAGCTTCCGCACAGCAAAAGAAATAATAAAATAACAAGAAAGCCCACTCCATGGAAGAACATATTTGCCAATGTTACATCAGATAAGGGTTTAATCTCCAAAATTTACAGGGAACTCATACAACTTAACAAAAGGAAGATAGTCCAATCAAAAATGGTCAACAAATAGATACTTCTCCTCCTTGAAAGTGCACATACAGTAGGTCAAGAGGCATATGGAAACATGCCCAAAGTCACTAGTTATCTGAGAGATGCAAATCAAAATGACAATGAGGTACCACCTCATAGCTGTCAGAATGGCTATTATCACCAAATCAATAAATGACAAGTGCTGGCAAGGATGTGGAGAAAAAGGAACCCTCGTGCACTGTTGGTGGGAATTCAGACTGGTGCTGCCATTGTGGAAAACAGTTTCCTCAAAAAACTAAAAATGGAAACTAAGATGGCGGCATAGGTAAACCCCGGGAAATTGCTGCCTCCCACAACAACTTCAAAAATACAATGAAAAGACAAAACAGACATCATCCAGAACTACAGGAAGGCGGGCTGAGTGGAAATTCTACAACTGGAAGGAAAGAGAAAAGCACACTGAGACTCAGAGGAGCTGCGGAGGTGGAGTGCAGAGGTACGGAGGCTCGAGCGCACGCGGCAAGGGCTGGCGACTGAGGATGCGGCTGTCTTTTTGAATCTGGAGGGAGCA